CAGAAGGGTCACAGCAGGTAAGATTTCCACTGTGAGAAGGATGACATATTAAATGCTGGAGTAATTCCAAATGTTCCTGTAGTTCCTTGAAATTGGTGCTGAGATCTAGATTAAGAGAAGTTAGGCTGTAGCAGCCAGTTGATAAAGTTGGATGCAAGCTAACAGAGACGCAGAAGGTGTGGCTTTTACTGCAGTAATCTAGTAGCTTCAGACAACCTTGGGCTTGTTGGATTTGTGGCTAGGAAGAGTTGACTGCAATATAGTGATGACTGTTTTGTTGGAAGGCTGGAGGATGCCTGACTCTACATTTACCAGCAGCATTTGGGGATGTTAGTGTTGGGTTAACCTAGAAACAAATGGGGTCTCTCTTACATCACTCCACTTTTATTTCTCTTCCCCTGCCTGAAGACCCCTGGAGGCTGATAATGGGGGGAAAGTTGATTATTAAAACACACTTGTTTTTCCTTTCAGTTGGTCATCCCATGTCTGGAGTGTAACTTGAGCTCTGTTAGCTAATAGTAGAGGCAGACTGCCCCCCGTAAATATGTTCCAGATTAGCAGGTCTCTGGGAAGCAGCAGATTTTTTAATAACACTTCCTTGGCAGCCTGAGCATATGGTTGTTCGACTCTAAACCTCACTTTTCTATTCTTTGTACATGTGTGCAATAACCGAATGCAGCAGACATGGTTTAACTGAACAGCCAAGTGACAGAGTTCATGTGCAATATATATAATGTATTTATTATATCAGGAGTAATTTTTGTTTGTTTGTCTGGGCAGCTTGAGGCTCATTCCAAAGCCACACAAACATCCAAGGAAGAGATGGAAGCAGATCCAAAGCCTGACTTGGATTCTGACTCCTGGTGTCTCCTGGGAACTGACTCATGCCGCTTCAGCCTGTAGTCTTTTAAGTTCACTGGAATCTATCCAATTTCACAGCACACTAACTTGAATGAAGAGAGCAGGTTTCCTGGCTTCAGGTCCTTTGTGAACAAGAAGGTCAGGGTCTCCACAGCGTCCATGTATGCAAGAGGGGAAGCTCCTCCCTAAGCTTTGAACCTAGGAGGACATTTAGAGAAAGGCAGAGCCCCAAGTTCAAGCCAGGGTCTGTTCAGACATCAGCAGCCTGCCCTCTCTACATTATCTCAGTCTGCCCTTGAGGTCAGGTAGCCACACTGCAGGAATGGCTCCAACAGCATGTCCTTAATCCCCCCCCCCAACTTTGCAAAGGCAGCATTGAGCCCTGACACATCATCTTCTGGCGACTGAAAAAGGAAAGAAAATGAATACCAACAATAACAGTCAAGCTGTCATGCTCCAAGTTGCTTTCAACCTAAAGTCAAAGGGCAGGACATCAGCTTTGTAGGAGGGGAAGCATTGGAAAATACTACTCTGAAGGTGGAAACAGAGAAAATCTGTCTTTCACTGCAGATGCATTTCTGGTTATATTTCCTCCAATCTGTACAGAAGGTGTTTTTAACTTTTAACTGAAGGGATGTTAGGGAGAGGATCTCTGTCACCCTTTTCTTAGCACTTCTAGGTACGGTTCTGATACATTTTTTTTTTATGGCTGTATTTTCCAGTTATCCAAGGAGTCTGTAGTTCTAGAGTTCACAACAATTATTTTTCAAGCCAGCCAAAGACTACGTGAAATTGAAATTGGACACACAACTTATTTGTTTCTTCTTTTCATCTTAGTTTGAGTACTGGAGTGAGTTGTTGAAAGCCTCTTGGCTTTGCGCCCCTTCTGCAAATCAGTATTTTCATTTCCTGTCTAATGCTTGATGAAGCTGGAAGAAAGCAGTGTCAGCTTTAATAATTTATCCAAATAAATTACTTAGAACCATAGACTTGGTAGAGTTGGAAGGGACCATGAGGGTCATCTTGTCCAACCCACAACCTTGAGATTAAGTCTCATGCTCTACCAACTGAGCTATCTTGGCTTGTAATAGACTAACATATACCAATTCAAAGCTTTCTAGTTTAATCAGTTCTAAACTGTATATAAAGGAACTCTGAAGATAGGGTTTCTGCTTTTCACCTTAAAAATGAAATTGATACTTTGCTAAATGGTGTAATTGGCATAATTGTGATTCCTGGGAGCCACTTCTGCATACTCCCCTCCCTGGAGTGGAATTCCCACTGTTCCTTATTTAAGAAAATAATACCCTAATCTAACTTTTGTGAACAGTTACTGTATCTATTTTGTGTCCCTTATCTTTTATTTGCTAGTCATAGATGGAGTTTAGAATCTCCCATTCACTTGTCTCTAATATCCCCTTATGCACTTTTCTCTTCTAGAACTATTATCAGACTGCTAAACATTTTCTGGCTGGAAACAGGTGCTAGAGTATCCTACCCTAATAGTTCCATTGTTGAGGAGTTACCTGGTTCTTCTCCAAATACTGTCTTGGAACTGACTTAGATACCATTTTTTTCTTCTGTTCAGCCCCAAGAATAGTGTTGGTATGCCTTTCCTTACTGTTGGTGGAGGAAGGAGAAGAGCTTGAATATAAAATACCAAATGAACAGTAGGTTATTGTGTTATTTGATCGATAATCTTGTCTCCAAAAGTATTGGAGCAGTTTTATTATTTTTATATGAGAATGCTGTTGTGGCTGTAGAGACTGTCCTGTTATAAAGTAGGAACTAAGAGAGAATGAACTAGCGCTCTTGGATGTTGTCCAGCAAGGAATTGCTGAGCAAATGGGAGTTGCTCCGTGTTACACGTTTGGTAAGTGAAATGCACAGACAATTTCCCCCTTGGATCTTGTGGAGTACTAGATACTATAATGAGGATGATCTGTGCTCCACAGCAATATATGTATGTGCCTTAGGATTCACGCTGTTCAAGCTGTGCCTGTTACAGACCATAATATATGCACCAACCCTGCTATGCAACCAAAGAAGCAGTTTAAACATATATCTTGCCCTAGGCTAGAGGGCAAATGGGCCAGGTGTGCCTTTGAGCAGTTTCAGACCCATTTCTTTCAGCAGTGCTAGCTCTGTAGATGTCAGTCTCTTGCTAGCATTGCTGTTAATTTGTTATAATGGAATGTGAAACATGCCTGCACTGACACTCTAGTTGAAAACTAGTTTGTCATTATCTATTTTTTGAAAGGTTCAATGGTGGAATGGTTTGACGTTTTCTGTTTAAATAAATGTTGACACTCATTTGCCTCGTGTGTTCTGAATTTTTCTAATAGAAATGAGATAATGTATGCTTACTTGTAGCTCAAGTACAGATCCATGATTTCAGCATCAACTCTGGACTTCTCATCTTGCTTGAATGGAACAAACCTTTTTTCCCATTACTTGGTTGTACACTTGCAGTCATCAGAAATGTTAGGATGGATGTATTGCACTTGCCTCTAGTTTTGTTGAGCCCCCCCACCCGCAAGGCACATCTTAAAATCGCTACAACTTTGGCTCTACAGAATTAGCTATCATCACTCATATTTTTCGTCATGTAAATTTCGTTAGCAATATCAGCTTTATTTGCCATCAGTAACCAGTGCACTAAGATGACAGGGATAGCACACACTGGTTAGAAATATGATAAATAACTTGCTGTTGAGAGGTGGATATGTATCTTTGAGTCTGGAACAACTAATAGAGATGAGGATTCCCTGTTTTCTCAAGAGTACTGTATCTTGGAAAAGCAGAGGACCCATATCTCTGGGGGCATTTTTTTAAGGTAATAAGGAGTGCAGGTATAGCAGATATTTGTTACTGGAGATGCGCCCTCCTAGAATTTGCAGTGCTGTGAAGTGTTCCCATATGCTGACTGTCATTCTTGGGGACAATGGTGTGTTTATTTAGAAATGATTAAAAATTATGCAGCCCATCAGCATAGAACTCCCTCACTGTTAAACCCACATAGCAGGTTGAAGGGCTGTGCTGAGAGTTACTTACAGCAGCTCTGCAATACAGTCCCCCTATTAATATTGCACATCAGAGGTGATGCTGATGTTGGCTTGGATTCCCAGTCAAAAACTCCATACCTCACAGATGGCAGCAAAAATCAATCTATTTAAATTGCATCCTCAGACCTCTGGTGCCAAATCAAGGCTCAAGTGTATTCAGAAACTTTATACACAACTGATATGCATATAGACTCATTGCATTTTTTTAAATGTTCAAAAGCTATATATATATATTGCATATGAAGAAAGACCCAAATAAGAGTAGTGCCATCTCTCTCTTCTATGGTTTTGGCATCTTCCTTAGCCACATATGCATAATAGAGTACACTGCAAGGGTTTTTTTGGGGTGGGGAGTGTCTGCTTGTTTTTAACTCCTTTGAAACAATCTGAATCTTTCCAAGTGCATATTTCTTGCTGTTCTGCAGACAGTGCAAACTATTTTGTTGAAGAGATATTCTCTAAATGGTTGTGACCCAAGGAAAATGGGTTCTGGATTTTTCTTTAATTCCTCCTGAAGGGATTTTAAAATTTCCTTTGGCTGGTACAGGAGAACCAGTGAAAACCAGCCTCTCTGCTTTGATAACATCACCCTTGAAAGCATGCAGAAAGCAAACAAGGGGAGCTGGCAATAGCCATGCGTGCAATGGAGAAAACCAGTCTGTCCTCAACATATTTTTTTTTACTTTGTTAGTAACAGAAATGTGGAGTGTGTTTTGATAATTGTTTCATAGTTCCATTATAGTAGCTCCTACAGTGGGGATACTCTCCTGAATTCCATGTCCTACTTTTTTACAAAGTTAAACACATCAGTACTCTGCTGCTCTTTTTTATGACCAGTGATATGAAAGGGGCCTATGCACCCCACTAGTTTTGTCCTTACAATCTCTAAAGCCGTATCAGTATTTCTCACAAGTGAATCAACACTTGCATTTTGAAGCTTTCGGACATCCGTAGCAATGCTTATGAACCACATAATCTGTTGAAGTATTGCATTGCATAAAATAATGCTGGTATATCTGAAGAAGCTGTGATGGAGGTAATACATTCCCACGTTCAATGATTACATTTCCCCCATGTTTTCCAAGTTGCCACATTCCACATATTTTATTACAGACGTTAGTTTGTTACTGGGAGACAATGAATGCATACACCACCCTGCTTTTAATTCACTTGTTCCCCTTGCTTGCCAAACACTCTCTCTAGTTGGTGAGCCCCCAAAATGTCTCAGCCACTAACCTGACACCAAAGATATGGCTAGTCCAAATGCCCACCTCCTGAATAACTAACTTGTTTTCCTTCCCCGCTCCCCGAGCTTATGACTGCATAAAGAGGTAGGATTGAGTGGCCAAATTATGCTAAAGTAATCAATCCATTTTACAATTGCCATTCTCATATTCCCCAAAGCCATTCTTTTTTAGCTTTAGTGAAATTTGGACAGACCAGGTTTCTGTTTGCCAGTATTTGTAGCTGGGCAAGAAAACTTAATGGCCAGATGAGATGGATAGCATGCAATATATCCAAGTAGGTATCGCCCCGTCCCAGCAGTTATATTAGTAATACAGTTCTATAGTTTGAGTTTTACGTAATGCTGAGCATCTGGGTAGTTTAAGACCTTCATTTCAGTTATGGGAGCTAAGAATTCTCTGTTCTTGTATGAACATGTAAACCAAGATTGGTAGTCCACTTAAGCAGATGCTTCACAAAGTTGAAGATTACCTCAAGACAGGTAAGAGTTCCTTCTGATAATTCTCAGTAGTATCTTTCTAGCACATAATCCCATGTCCTAGGAGGCAGACAGAAATCCTAATGTTCCTGACAAATGTGCATGGGTTCTGTGAAGGGGAGGGAATGAGGACCAGCCAACAGCAGCAACACAGATGTAAGAGCACTACCTTAGGTCTAACTATTTTACGAAGCACTGGACCTTAATATGCAATACATGGGGTTTAATAATCTGTTCATGGTTTGTGGGCTTCTCACTGATTTCACACCTCTGTATTTTATATATAAAATGAAACTGCAGCACTGGGAATGCTGTCTGCTACTCTGTGCTATCAAACAAGGAAATGGCAGGGAGCCTCAATGTGATGATGCCAGTTGCAGATCTCACTTTGGCCCACTACTATCAGCGCTTCTTTTGCTGTGGCGGTGGGGGTCTGTTCTTAATGTTCTTGCACTTGGGAATGTGTCTCTCAGCCACCTTAGGTGCAAACTGACGGGTGCAATAAGGGCATAGCTTGTAGTCTGGGTTCTCCATAGCAGGGGCTGGGGGGAGGTCTGATGCCTTCCCTCCTTTGGAGATTACTCGTTGCAGCTCACGAGCCCTACGCAATGTCTTGATGAACGATTCGTGCTTCTGTCTCCAGTTGCTTTGCTTAGATAGCTCACTGTTTTGCTTGGAAGCCTCAAAATTTTGTCTGGAATTCTTTTTCTGTAGTGAGAAGGGGGAAAGGGAGAAACTATTAATACAACCTGTTAGCTCACACTCTGATATTTCCTGCCACTGTTTTTGTTCTGGACACAGTTTAGTTATCATATACCAGATAGCAGGACATTTCTAATGTAACAGGTTCTTGGTCCCTATAAGGCAAATGGAACTACATAGCATATGTGAAGACCAAAGTTCTGCTAGGTGGACAGAACACGTGCTGCTTTTTCAAAAGTCATATCACTAACTCACAGGTCCACTCCAGAATGATATCACTAGGTTTTCTACCAAAATCATTGCCACTGCTCAGATCATCTGAACATTGTAACTGGAATGCAGATGAAATCTCTTAAACGGGGGTAAAATTACCAGATTTAATCTGATGGTGAAATTGAACAGACCCTCTAAAATAGAAGGACTTTGATGTCACTGAACTGTTCCATACTTTTAAATATGAGTACTTTCTTCATTCTTAATTTCAGAGGATCGTTCTAAGCCTGATCTTAATCTTATCATGCAGCTGTGATATTTGTAGGTTAGTTAGTGACTTGACTTGCTACATAAAATTAATTTGATAATTTTGAAGCTTTGTTTTCACATCCTCAACACCTCGTTTTTGTATGATGAAAGAAGGTAAAATTGGGCTCTTGTTTGGTATAATTTCTAGCAGTCACCCTACCCATGGCTGAATTGAAGTAAATGAATGGCAATTAAGAGGTATATTAGGGATCATCAAGATTTATTAGGAATTCCACATGATTTGAAAGGAACTCCAAGAATTAAAGAATGAACATCAAAGTGGAAACCAGAGAATGATGGCAAATGATGCTGGTACATCATTAAAGCTAAAAAGGACCCAGGCTGATCAGTGACTGTCTAAAAGTTCCAAACAGACCCAAAGGAACAGCAGGGTATGCATAACAAGTAAGTAAATGTATTACCTGAGAGGTGTCTGTACCCTTCAATAGATAATACGTCTCTAATTCGGTGCCTTTTGCTCTAGCCTTGCTTGAATCAAACACTTTTCTCTTGGAGCCATGATTCTTCCTGCAGATGCTTATGTGCTTCTCCAACCTGGAGCAATAAAGCTTTCGCCCACAGAAATTGCACTCTCCCCAATCCTCTACACTGCTTGGAGCCTCTGTATATGAGGGTTCTGCTGCCACACAGTCAACCTGTCCCAATGAGGCTGCTGCGGAAGGAGCCTGGTCACGTATGGAAGCCAGTTCTGGGCTAGAAGTGGCTGAAATCTGGGATACATTCTCTCGAATTTTACTGTTGCTAGCCACCAATCTTTGCTTTTTTAGCTTTTCCATGTGGAGTGCCTGGGGAGGCAGGGCAGTCCCCACTGAGACAGCAGGGCTGTCTGGAATATGTACCTTTTGACAGTCACGCGTTTGAGCTACAGATCTGGAAACATGGCCCTGAGTAATACCTGCTGCTTTCCTCTCAGGCATGCATAGTCCTCCCCGCTGCCGTCTTCCTTCTGCTTCTGCCTGCTGCCTCTCCCACTGGATTCTTCGAAGCTCTTCTTCCGTTCTCCTCAGCTTCTCCCTGAGCAGGGCCTCCTTTTGCTGGATCTCCTCCTCTAAGCTCCGCCCAGCAGCCTCCAGTTTTTGAATGTAGCCCGACTCTGCCCTACGGGAATGAGAAGCTGCTCTCTTGGATTGCTCTACAGAAAAAGGAGAAGGCACTCTAACATGATGAGTCTTGACTGCATGTGACCTTCCTTTTTTCTCTGAGCTAGGGCTAATGGGAGGAGTCTTTCTAGCTGGTGGGCTCCCAACTTGCCAAGAACTGGGCAGGTGAACATTCCCAGCTGTATGGGGAAAGACTGGTTTTAGAGGGTATGACCTGTCCACACCTTCTCTTCGTTTGGTTCTCCAGTGGGAGGGCAGACTGTTGGCCTGGCCCTTGAAGTACCAATTGCGTGGGCCAGCAGAATAGAAACCTGCCTTCTCCAAGATCAGTTGACTAGTTTCTGTAGGCTGAGAACAAGAAGAGCTCCGCCCTTTTTGGATATGAAGATCTGCCAGCTTCTTATCTTTGTTGCACAGGAATTGCTGCTGGATATTACTCCTCAAGTGTTCTAGCTGGACCGGCTCTTTAAGAGCCTCAGGGTGGCATCTTTCCTGGCTTGTTGCAGGAAGGCTGGAATTGGCCGCCATTGGATCCATATGTGAACACACAGCCAGCTGCAAATGAGCCATTCAGCATTTCCAGTAAAGCCTGGGGGAATGCAACAAGTTACATACATGCTATGATTGGGGCCCTCATGCTAGAATCCCTTTCTCCTACTATAATAGGGGAAAGCAAGTACACATCAGCTCTAGGGGGCCTTTATAGATATATAAAGGGGGGCCTTGCTTTTCAGTGATGGAAACGGCACTGGCATATGGGGAAGATGACAGAATATTGCATGAGGGCCTGACATTGTATCAGCACAATATCCAGAATCCTTAAATCTGTGCAAATGTAAGTGCACCAGGCAAATTTGGGGACCCTATGCCATTAGAAATTTCTGTGTTGACATCAGGGCCTAAGGGAGCAGGAATGGTGTAGAAAAAGGGACAAGAAGTCAACAGTGTATCAAGTATTCCGGTCCTTTCCTTTCCTCTCTTAAAATGGACTGGCAGAGGGAGGGATCAAACCATTATATCTGCACAGAAAGCCTTTTACAAAGACTTTAATAAATGGGGGGGGGATTCATAACTTGATGCAATCCATCCTCCCTACTTCAAATGGTGAGGGTACCTAGAAGAGAGCCTCCAAAGAGGATAAGCACAGGAAAGCTGACATGCTAGCAAGTTTTCCTTCAGGTACCTGGGTATCAAGCCATTTAAAGATAGGTACCAGCACTCAGAAATTGATGAGCAGCCAGTGGAGTTTTAAAATACACTTGAAATATGTTCAAAATGATCAGAAAGTATGCTGAACCAACTGAAATTACCAGTACTCAAAAGTACCTCACATGCAATGTATCATACCCGTCAACCCTAGATTATATCAGGGTATGGACAACTGTGATCAAGCTATCTGTTCAACTGGTGCACCAACCTAAGCTTATGAAAGGTTTTGACTACCAAAGGCAACAGACTAAATAAAATGGATAAATTTCTATATATAGCATCCAGCTGACACTATACGTATAGCATCTAGAATACAGGATATTTAACTAGATATACTATTGCTCTCATTCACTATGACAGTTCTCATGTAATAGAAGACAGTAACATAGTGTACACCTAAGGCAGTGTTTAGGGTCTACTGACTCCAATGGAAGCTACTGACCCTAATGGAATCAGCAAAATTCCTAATAATGGGAAGGTGGCCTGACAGGTGTTTGATAGCTCATTACAGGTACACTAACCTTAATGTAACTGAACAGTTTAGACTACAGTAGAAGCTTCATCAGATGTTGACAAGTGATGGGCCTCAATTTCAGAAAGCTGATGCAAGATACCTGCCAAAATAATGCTTTTAAATCATGGTAGCTATTCCTATGTGAAACTAATAGAGGTTGCATCCTCAAGTCAAGGGTGCCAGTGGCCCTCCAGATGTTGCACTCCAGCCTCCATCATCAGGTGTTGGAGACCAACAATTTGTGTCTGGCCACAGGGTCCCCACCCCCACCCCTTATTCTTCAACAAGACTGCCAGTTAGTTGCAGAATTAAAAGATTTCAACCCAGCGTCCTGTTACCGCTCGCTCCAAGCGACTGCCTGGTCAGTTCTACGCGGGGCAACAGGAGCCAAGCAAACATCTTCCACCGAGAAATGGGATGAAGCCAAGAGGGGACACCCACACCCACCTGTTCAGTCTCCAGGGTAACTTGGACCCCCGCGCTCCGCAAGGCCTGCCTGCTCGCCCGCCCTCGCAGAGCATGTCTGGCTGCTCCAGACACTCGTCCCCAGCCCCTCAAGCCAAGCCAAGCCTATTCTCACCTGCCTCTTCTTACCGCAGCCTCCGATCCTCAGGGCAGCTGTTTACCACCGTTGCTTAGCAACGAGCGCCCGCGTGCTACATCCGGCTCCGTCCTCCCCGCTTCCTGTCCGCATCTTTAGGGTCTGTATATCTCTGTGCGTTGACTTATTTTTATTTATTTTTAAGGGAAATGGTCGTCCCCTCTCTATGGTTCGAGCTTATTTGCCGTTCGAGCGTGAAAAGGGCCGGTGAGGCAGCGGGGGGAGGGGAAGGGTTAGAGAAAGAGACGTCGGGTCTCGTTCCTTGACGACCGTCTCCACTTCCGCTCCACCTTCTGGGGCCCTTCTAGTCACCTGGGCCCAGAGCAGCTCCATGGTAAGGCGAGCCGTTAGTGGCGGTTGGTGCCACCAGGTGCCCCTGGCTCCTGACTGGGAGCTCGGAGACCGGCTCCGCTGCTTGGCGACGAGCCTGGCGGGAGCTTCGCGCGGTTAGATAGAACACGCCGAGAGGCTCCTGAATCGGCAGGTCTCTCCTTCCCTCTTCTGTAGCAAATGACGGGCGGCGCCCTGACCCCGCCGCGCCCCTTCGCCCTCTGCCCTCCCTAATATGGGGCAGCACGCGGGGCTGGCGCCGAGTGGGAGGCGGTCCTCTCTCCCCGGGAGAGTCGCTGGGCCAAGTAGGCGCCGCCGCCGCCACAACCATGGCTCCTTCGCTGGAGGCTGCGGAGATTACCGTCGTCTTCTCCCAGCATTTGCAGGGGTGGGCAATATGGGACCCTCACCCTCGGCGTCTCCTTTTCTGCCTAATCGCGTTTCTGCTTTTGGTCCAGGCGCCAGCGGCCATGGCGGAGGGAGACGGCCTCATTTCAGTGGACTACGAAGTGTTCGGGAAAGTCCAAGGGGTGTTTTTCCGCAAAAACACACAGGTGGGTGTGCTCCAGTCTGAGGTTTCCCTGGGGTAGGCAAAGGGAAGGTGGTGTGTGACTTTTCCGGTCGTCCCCCCAGCGCGCCCACACAGGCATTGGGGGGGGGGGGGAGCGTGAGCATTATAAGAAGCTTTGCTTGGGCAGCTGAGCAGATTATATTGTGTATACACTCCCGCATCCAGTGCGTTCCTACTGCCTCTTTGAGATACATACACTAGGTAAAGGTAAAGGTACCCCTGCCCGTACGGGCCAGTCTTGCCAGACTCTGGGGTTGTGCGCCCATCTCACTCTAGAGGCCGGGGGCCAGCGCTGTCCGAAGACACTTCCGGGTCACGTGGCCAGCGTGACATCGCTGCTCTGGCGAGCCAGAGCCGCACACGGAAACGCCGTTTACCTTCCCGCTAGAAAGCGGTCCCTATTTATCTACTTGCACCCAGGGGTGCTTTCGAACTGCTAGGTTGGCAGGCGCTGGGACCGAGCAACGGGAGCGCACCCCGCTGCGGGGATTCGAACCGCCGACCTTTCGATCGGCAAGCCCTAGGCGCTGAGGCTTTTACCCACAGCGCCACCCGCGTCCCCCGATACATACACTACTTGGCCACAACTGTATCTATCTCTAGCTGTGTTTTAAGCTGGGTATGTGGACACAGCCTTGGGCTACAGTCCTATCTCCAGTCCATTTATTTAAGAGTAAACCACGCTGATCCTCAATTTGTATTGTCAAAAGGCCTGGATTTTAAACAGTGGCTATTTCTTTCTTCTTTGGTATTGGTTGCTATGCAAATATATTCTGTAGTTTCCTTTCTATTCAGACCAATTACTCTCTCTCTGTGTGTGTGTGTGTGTGTGTGTGTGTGTGTGTGTTTCAGCATATATATGTTGACAACGGAGCCAAACTGCTGAAGAATTACAGTGCCTGCTGTGGCAGCAGAGACCAGTACCTCTTAACTGCTGCCTCCTGTGTTGTTTTTGCTGTGTTAGCAGCACTGAAGTGACCTCCCTGGGGCGCAAGCCTGGGCAGTGTATATGGAGGTCCTGGGCTGCCTAGACAAAAAGACACTCCTTTTGGCCTTGTTGATGTGGTCTAAAGGAAAGGAAAGCAATATGTTTTGCTCCAACCTGGCTGCAGGAGCTGCCGGAAGGAGCGTACAAGGCGCCATCCGACTGTCTTAGGGACTCCACTCTGGATTTGTATAGTGTATACTCCTTAGCCTTTCCTTCTCTCAGATATGTCCCACAAGGCAGCGTATTATTATTTCTTTTTCCAGCATATAAATTGCATCTTTATATATATTTTTAGACCGAAGGAAAGAAGTTGGGTGTCGTTGGCTGGGTGCAGAATACTGACTATGGCACTGTGCAAGGCCAAATCCAAGGTCCTACTGTCAAGGTGCGACAACTTCAAGAATGGCTTCAGAAGACAGGAAGCCCCAAGTCCCGCATCGACAGAGCTGAATTCCGCAATGAGAAGAAGATTGCTCGTTTAGAGCATAGTGACTTTTGTATTGTCAAATAATAGTGACCCAGGGGGAAAGCACTATATTTATAGTAAGAGCAATAAGCTCATTGGGAAGAAAGCGCTCCCTTTAGTTTTTATATTAATTGTTTATGTACAGATTTATTCACTTTTAACTATATATTTAAATTATTTATTTACATTGTGATTACATTGGTTACACTGAATGTTCTAAGAACTTGATGTGTTAAGAGTTGTTAATAAAGTGTATGCTTAGGTTTGTTTATTAATTTATTTATTTAACATCACCCCCTGGAGGTGCACTCCATTGTCTCTTGAGACAGGCAGATGCCAAAAAAAGTTTAGAGCATATGTACCCTGCTCTTAAATCAACAAGGCTCCCAGGGTGGCTTTACATACAATCAATTAAAACAAGGCAGTCCCTGTCCACAGGCTTACAACAATGGCAGACTTTGGTCTTTAAAATGTCAGTGGCACCCTGTGCAAGGCCAAAATCTGGTACCACCTCAGCCTCTCACCTTTGGTTCTGCTCAATTCACTACGTTATACAGTGGTGCCTCGCAAGACAAAATTAATTCGTTCCGCGAGTTTTGTCGTCTTGCAAATTTTTTTGTCTTGCGAAGCACAGTGTCGGGAAAGCTTTGGAAAAGCTTCAAAAATCACCAAAGTCTTAAAAAACCTCAAAAAAGGGTACCACACCACGTTCTATGAGTTGCTCCTTGAAGTCAAGTCGCAACTGTATTAACGGTGTTAAGAAAAAGGAAACAAACTTGCAAGTCTTGTGAAGCAAGCCCATAGGGAAAATCATCTTGCGAAGCAGCTCAAAAAACAAAAAACCCTTTCGTCTAGCGAGTTTTTTGTCTTGCGAGGCATTCGTCTTGCGAGGTACCACTGTAGTTGCAAAGCCCTGCAGCGCCCTCCAGTGCGGTGGAACCGATTGCACTGTCCAAAATTCACCTCTGCCTACAATCTAAAAAGCCACAGCACATAAGGGAAAAGGGACAAGGAGGGAAGAGGGGGAAATACATCAAGCTCAGACACTAGTTTTTAAAACAGTTGTTTTTATAATGACAAGCTTGCATAGTTCAGGGGTAGGAGGTACATGATGAAGCTGGGCCTATGGCAAAACTGGTGGAATGAATGATCCCTGGAGGAAAGGATAATCAAAGGCTACTAACCATGAAGTCTATGTTCTACCTCCACTATTGGAGGCTGTATGTCTCTGAATGCCTGTTGCTGGGAATCACATGTGGGAAGAGTGCTGTTGCATTCACTTCTCATTTGTAGGATTCTCATTGGCATTTGCTTGGCCACACTGAGAACAGGTTACTTGACTAGACAGGCCTTTGGCCTGATCCAGCAAGGCTCTTATATTAACAGTGGAGCCTATCCATATAAAACTGTTTTACAAACACTTCATGTGTATGCAGTCTGCACTGCATTGAGAAGGCTATATAGCTAATGCTCAGATCTGACGAATTTAAAGAGCACAAAAAGGCTCCAACTTGTGTGTTTCAAACCCAACATTCATCCCCTGATTTGCCTTGGCCTCTGAATAATTTTCACAGAGGCAGCTGTATTAATCTGTTCAGCTAAAACACTATCATTGCACCTTAAAGGCTAATCAATTTTATTATAAAAAAATTCCTTCCAGTAGCACCTTAAAGACCAACTAAGTTAGTTCTTGGTATGAGCTTTTGTGTGCATGCACACTTCTTCAGAATTTTATTATGTTATCAGCTTTCATGGATTAGAGCCCGGTTCATCGGATGGAAAGAATGCACAGCGCTAGAAACAAATTTTCTGAGTTCCTTCGCTCCCTTGCCTACAGAGATTTCTTTTGCTGCTGCTTATTCCACGCCGCTTTTGCAGGGCTGACTTATCGGCCCTTCCTCCATTAGGAGCGCCCCAGAGACGTCCAACACAGACTATGTGCGGCAAACACAAAGGATCCTACCAGCGGGGCTGGAGAATGAGAGTTTCGAAAAGACTACAATACCCAGGGTGCATTGCAACGCGTTTCTGTACGAGGGGAATCGGTGTCCCGATACTTTCGCCGGTGGCTGTTGAGCAGCAGCAACAACAACAACGACAGGCCTCCCTCCTCAGCGCTGCCGCCGTCGAGTTTTCAGGTGGTGTCTGACAGTTAATTTCACCAGCTGAGGCGGCGGGAGATGCAAGTCGATTTGGCTGCCACGGATGTGGATTGGTGCCTTGTCCGGTTGCGGGAGGCGGAACTAGGAAGAGAAGCGGGTCTGTTGCGACCACGCCTGGGATGCAAGGAGGGAGGAGACAGAGTCTGGCCAGTGGTTTACCCGGGGCAGCCCAACAGCTTTCTACTTTGTCTTTATAAAGTCTGGAGCACCTGCTTTTCTCTCCAGCTTTGGTCACCCCAAAGTCTTTCCTCTCATCAGCTGGAATCGCTTCATAAAGGGGTCTTAATTGTATTTTTAAAAGTGCACTGGCTTTATTCAATTCCTTCTAGGCACTCCTTTATTCTATTTCTCAAACCCTGGTTGGCACAACAGCAGTCCCATGAGGTGGGATAGACTGAGAGTGGGTGACTGGCCCAAGATCTCCTGAGTGAGTGTCAAAACTGAGGATAGTTTTCAACTTGTGCTTCAGGCACATTTTAACAATGACTCTATACTTGCTCTGCAAATACTGGTCCAAGCAATGGGAGTTGGCATTGCAGTAACCAAGAAGCAAAGGAAGCGGTGGCTAGCTGGTGCTTCCTTTTTCCTTTTTTAACTTTATGCATCCTCTCAAAGCCAGCACCACACTAGCTTCTTTCTGTGTGTAACTAGTCTGAATGGACTGTACAGTTTTTGGGTGCTTCCAAATAAGTGTTTATTGTGGATTCAGTTCTCTTTTTTTATTTATTTTTGCAGCATCCATGTAATGTTATTCGCATGAAAATACCAGAGCATATTTTTTCCCTAGATTTACCCTTTCTGTGGAAAATCCAGTAGGTTAAAAATGTTTCTAATGCCCCATTTACAATATTAAGCCCCCATCTCGAACATTTGCAATAAGCACAATGTTTGTGTATCTTCACTTATTACCATCCGTGTGCCAGCTAAATTATGGCACTCTGCATTAGTGTCCAGCACTTATGCTTCATTTCACCCTTATTAAGTTGACACAATCCTGCGTGTATATGTGATTGTGAAACCACATGTTTGAATTCACCAAAAATCAGTTATTTGTCATAATTTAGCTTTGGCATTGATGGCTTTGGATTTTGTGTATATGTGCATGTTCATATGGTTTGGACAGAACATAAAGAAGTGTTGAATCAACTTAGAAACAAATGGAGCTATTCTGCAATTGCTGAACTTTTCTAAAATGAGAACTGAATTTTGTTGACAAATGCTGCAAACTGGGACTAAGCACCATTTGACTCTATGAGGCTTACTTTTGAGTAGGCAAATATAGGATTGTGCTGTAAGGCAACAAGAATGACCATGGAAACAAACTAGGGAAATGTTAAGGAATTTATGAGGCGTCTGGCTAAATATATCTATTAAGCTTTTGGTTGTTTTCACTCTGTTTTCTTATAGGGGATTCAAAGAAAGCGGCAGTACATACCAGTCTCCTGAGGTTTTCATCCTTCCACTTTTGTGATGATCAAATGCTTGGCTGAAGAAGTGCAAACCAGCTTGCGGTCTGGAGTGGCCATCAACTCACTAGGCCAGTGTGTTGAGGAGCTTGTCCTTAACAGCATAGATGCTAAAGCAACATGTGTGGCTGTCCGATTGGATATGGAAACTTTTAAAGTCCAGGTGGTGGATAATGGCAGTGGGATGGGAAGAGATGACCTCAACAAAGTGGGAAATAGGTATTTTACCAGTAAATGCTACTCAGTGGAAGACCTAGAAAATCTAAAGTTTTATGGCTTCCGTGGAGAAGCTTTGGCAAGCATAGCAAACATGGCCAATATATTGGAAATATCATCCAAGACAAATAAGGTAGCAAAAACCTTCCTGAAACTGTTTCACAATGGAAAAGAACTGGAAGTCTCTGAAACAGAATTGAATAGACCAAGTGCTGGAACAACAGTGACTGCATACAATTTATTCCACCAATTACCTGTGAGAAGAAAGTGCATGGATTCCAGATTGGAATTTGAGAGAGTGAGGCATAAAGTAGAGGCTCTTTCACTTATTCATCCCTCCATCTCATTTTCTTTAAGGAATGATGCTTCCTGTTCAATGGTGCTTCAGTTACCAAAGACAAAAGATACACGATCTCGGTTTTCTCAGATTTATGATCTAGGTAGATCCCAGAAATTACGAGAAATAAATTATAAATCTGCAGTATTCGAGATAAGTGGTTTTATCAGTTCTGAAGGGCATTATAATAAGAATATTCAGTTTCTATATGTGAATAATAGATTGGTATTAAAAACAAGATTGCATAAACTTATTGACTTTTTATTAAGAAAACAAAGCATTATATGTAAGACAAAAAGTGGGTCTTCGACTTCAAGTCCTGCTCGTCAGCGCTCTGGCCCAGAGCTCTATGGAGTCTTTATTATCAATGTGAAATGTCCATATGATGCGTATGATGTGTGTTTGGAACCTGCAAAAACTCTAATAGAGTTTCACAACTGGAATGCTGTCCTAGATTGCATTGAGGAAGGAGTAAAATATTTTTTAAAGCGAGAACATTTATTTATTGAGCTGTGTGGTGAAGACGTTAAAGAATTTAATGAAAACAATGACTTTTGTTTAGTTAAAACTCTAGATTTACACCCATCTCTCCTTGAGGAGAAGGACTTGCAGGAGAGTTTCAAGAGAGCTTCTGATAATATTGTGGATTCTTATGAAATGTTTAATCTGCAGTCAAAGTCTGTCAAAAGGAAATTAATTCATGAAAATAAGACATCAGACCACACAGCACCAACTAACAATTTGGAGGGAATAGATGCTGGCTCAGATTTGACTAGCACTGGACCTGTTTATGATCTGAGTAGCAGTAATGTGAAGAATTGTCTGCCTGACAAAAATGGCACAATTCCCAGCTTGCCAAAGTTGGGTAACCTACACCAAGAATCAAACATTTCTGATAATCTCCCTGTTGAGCCAATTAATTCCAAGTGTTCAGAAGAAATCAGCAAACAGGACAGGGCAGTTGCTTTAGAAATAGACAAGTATGCTTCTACTTCATTTTGTACTGAGAAACATGATAACTGTGCAAATAGGCAACAAGACAGAGCCCTTCAGGAAAGTAACCCCAGCACTGTCACTCTGAGACATAT